TTTCGCCCAAGTCATGGGATGGCAATGGGATTCCCAACTTAACTAGGAGGTAACACTTACTTTTTGTCGTGGAACCTCTCTATCTCCCTTGCAGTGTTGCATTTGATGTTCTTAATTCTTACCATACAAGATGTACTATTTCAAGAACACTTTATTGTTAACTGCATAAGTTTCGATGTTACAAACAAATGAGATAAGATTAATAGCAAAGGAATTCTCAGAAGACAGAGCAACAGAGAGACAACACGAGACACCATATGTAAAATGTCGATAAGAAAAACTACCAAAACCTTTAAATTAATTAAAAAAAAAAGATGGTATAGTTTTTAAACCGCATGAAAGAAAGAAAAAGTAGCAAAAAAACTCTCATTAATCATGGATTAATCCGCAATCTCTGGAAAAAACCCCACAAAAAGTGTTGGGATCACTGCATATTAACCACTTCGAAAAGCCAGGAAATCCTACCCACTAATAAGCATCGACATTACAAAACTTCCAAATTCCAAAAAGAAAAAGTTCGATTCATAGAGAGAGAAAGAGAAAGAGAGATGCTCCGAGTGCAAAATCTCAAAAGAAGGGGTACCTGATTTCTTATATTCTCTCCAGACTTATTTGTTTCTCTTCTTTTATCTAGGAGTTTTTTGGTTTTTTAGAGAGAGAGGAAAACCTTGTGGCTTGCAGGGAGAGAGAGCACCTTCGTTCATTTGTTTCATAGAGAGAGAGATTTGTAGAGAGAATACCTATGCTTTATTGCTTAAAGAAACAAAAAAAATTAAATGGACGGAGCCTTATTAGTTCCAGTCGAGGCATTTTCGGGATTATCAGAAAAGCCCGGCCAGATGACCTAATTTCGGGCTTTTTCAGCCCGGCCCGGTCATGTCCTATAATACTATATATCCAAAATGGCCTGGCCTGGCACAGACCGCAACCCGTTAACCAGCCTGCTAAAGTCCCGTTAGCCACCCCAGCCCGAAAGCGCCCGACCCGGCCATTGGCAGCCCTAAAAAGAGGTGTGGAGAATAAAGATAAGCATGACTGCCAAATGGTTATTCAAAGCCTTGCATAAATTTTATCTTTTATGTCATTTGTAGAAACGATTGGGGTGTTAATTATCACTTTTGATTGGTGTTTAAAAGGTAGATGGCGCTCGGACTCGCCACCGATTGAGCCTAAGTTCCTAGTTTGACTAAGAGATTTTGACTTATGTTAAGATTTTTAAACAAAAAAAACTAAAAAATTAGGAGACTCGGGCATTTCTAAGATTTTCCAGCCCAGAATCAACCGCTCTCCTCATCCAATCTAACTCGAGTGATTCCCCAAGTCATCTAAGGGCACGGTTGGATAAGAAGAAATTAAGAATCTTAGGTATTTATAATTTAAAAAATATATGGAGTTTCAATATTAAAGATTTTTGTCATGGATTCTTCAAATATCTTATTTGGATAAACTATAAAAAATTTATGGATTCCTTGCAATCACTTCTATGTTCATTGTTTCGTAACAAAACTTGATACAATTTTTCTCTCTAAAAATTTTATATACTTTCTCTAAAACTCAAATTTTGGGATAGTATATCTATAAAAATTTTGAGATAGTTATTCTCTCTAAAATTTGATATGGTTTGTCTCTACAAAATTTAGGGAAAATTTCGTAAAGAATCATAATTTCTGGTAGACCATCTTTCCGTTTTTTTGCAATACGCATAAGGAAATCCATGTGCCCCCCTCATCTCTTATCTCCCTATTTTATTGACTTTTTACCATAAAAATTAGCCATAACAAATTTTTTTACATCATTTCATCCAAAAAAAATTTAACCATGTTTTTCCCTTTCCACCCATTAAAAAAAGTTCTTGGGTTGAAATGATATAAGAAAATTTGTTGGGGCTAATTTTTATAAACAAAAGCCAATAAAAGAATGAGATAAGAGATGAGGGGCTATTGTGAAATCTTTAAAGGTTTTATTATGCCGCTTGGAATTAAAACTGAATGAGGGTTTACCATGAAATAATATGAGGGATTAGAGTTCTATACGAATTTTTCCTTAAAATTTAATATATTTTATATCAAAAATTTAAAATTTGAAATTTTCTATCTAAAAATTTTGATATAATTTCTCTCTCTACAATTTTTAGGTGCTCTACTCTCGCTAAAATTTAATATAGTTTCTTTCTAAAATTTTAATATTCTCTCTTTAAAACTTAAACTTGAGATAGTTCCCCTTCAATAATTTTGATATAGTTTCTCTCTCTAGAGATTTTTAAGTAGTTTCTCCCTCTAAAATATAATATAGTTTTATCTCAAAGTTTAAGATACTTTCTCTTTCTAAAAGCTAAAATTTGAGATCTCTCTAACATTTGATATACTTACTCTCTTAAATTTTAAAATGCTTTCTCTTTCTAAAACTTAGAGATATTTATAATTTAAAAAAATATATGGAGTTTCAATATTAAAGATTTTTGTCATGGATTCTTCAAATATCTTATTTGGATAAACTATAAAAAATTCATGGATTCCTTGCAATCACTTCTATGTCCATTGTTTCGTAACAAAACTTGATACAATTTTATATACTTTCTCTAAAAAATTTTATATACTTTCTCTAAAACTCAAATTTTGGGATAGTATATCTATAAAAATTTTGAGATAGTTATTCTCTCTAAAATTTGATATGGTTTGTCTCTACAAAATTTAGGGAAAATTTCGTAAAGAACCATAATTTCTGGTAGACCATCTTTCCGTTTTTTTGCAATACGCATAAGGAAATCCTTGTGCCCCCTCATC